TGTTGTTGTTATGATGTGATGATGTCATGTTGTTTTTTGGAGGGCGTAAGCTGGGTGACCCACTTTTGGTGTTTGTAGGTGGTCTTGTAAGGAGAGTACGTCATCTCTTTGCACTTGTATCAGTATAGGTGGAGTCTAGTTTGGGTGTGGCTGTTTTTTTGCCTTTGTTAGTTCGGCTGTTACTTTTGTGTTCACTCATTTGGAGTTGAGATTGAATAGTAAGGGTAAAAGGTACTATGTGGCCTGTAGGCCTTGTGTTTTCTTTGTTGTTGGTTGTGTAGTTCTTGCTGCTCTGTTTTCTCTTGATTTTGATTACTTAGAAGTGTAAACTGATGGTGTATGGGTGTTGTCCTGTTTTTGAAACTTTTTTTTAGTTATTTAATTATTTATTTTTATGAATTTTGTTATATCGATTTTTATTTCTTATTAAAATTGGGATCTACGGGAAAGAGTTTTTTCTCTCTAGTATTTAGTATATTTAATATAAAAAATATAATAAGTTAATATAAAAAAATAATTTTTTTAAAATTAAAAAGTTTTTATTAAGTTAGAGTCTGTTGGGCTTCTAAGTAAAGTTATAAAAGAGATTTTTCTGGTTCTAATAGTGGTTAGATTATCAAAATCAGCTTGGTGGATCCTAAAATATTTGGGGTTAAAGGCGCGAATATAGGGATCTACAAATTGGTGGTTACACAAAGTATTATAGTCTTTAGTACTTTGTATAACCATTAATTTAAAGATCCTTATATTCGTACCTTTAACCCCAAATATTTTGGGATCCACCAAGCCAATTTTGATAATTTAACCACTATTAGAATTAGAAAAATCTCTTCTACAACTTTACTTAAAAGCCCAACAGACTCTAACTTAATAAAAAATTATTTTTTTAAATTTGATTAGTTGTTAAAAATAGAATTATTTATATTGTTTTGTATAACTTATGGTGAAAATAACAATTTGCCATGGTGAAAATAACAATTCCCTATATTTATTATATATTTTCTTAAATTTTATTATATTATTTATATTATTATTATATATTTTATAGTATTGTTAGTTTATTTATATAATTTATAACATATTTTATTTATTTTAGTCGCTCAAATGATAGTTTATTATTAATTTTATTAGGATAGTTTTCACAGAATTTCATTTAAAACAATAGTTATTTAATTATTTAATTTATTAGTTTGTTTAACATAAATAGAATCCAAACTAAGTTATCTGAATACAAATGGTGCTCCAGGACAGCCCAGAACGATGTAACAACAACATTAAGGATAAATAAAGCCTAACAAATCCAAAATAGCAAAAGTGCTCTTGCTATATCAAAAGGTACCCATCCTATATTAAAAGGTGCTCATCCTATATTAAAAGGTGTCCATCCTATATTAAAAGGTGCTCTTGCTATAGTAAAAGGCAGTGTTGTCAATTTTAATGTCCGCGCCAAATTTGGCAGACCGGACATTTTCGGATATTGTCCGACGTCTGAGTCCGAATTTTGTCTGAGTGAATCTATTGTCGCTCGGACAATGTCTGCGAGTAATATATCTTAGACTCAGACACTCAGACACGGACATGTCTGTTTTGTACTATAAATTTATCGTTCACACACTAATGCTAGTATTTATTTATTAATCAACTATCGATTACACTTCTAAGTAATCAAAATCAAGAGAAAACAGAGCAGCAAGAACTAC